AAGCCACAGCACATAGGAACACTTGAGAGTGGGTGGTGATAACAAATATAGTCCTAGAAAGGTTAGAGTCAGGAGGGATCTGAGGCCACCTAATCCTGCAACTTGGTCTGTGGAGAAGAAACCCTTTCTTCCAGAGTTGGATGATTCACAAAGACACAAAGCTATTTCATAAACAAACAAGTTCTGGACACATATAGGGGAGGGTGACCTGGCACTTCCATGCTGCTGGGTACCTGACAGTGTCAGGAGTCACCAGGGACCAGATCCTGGGATTCGGCATTTGCCTAACTTAGCCTTGACCTCCTAGCATTGGCAATTTCTAGTTGTGTGATCCAGGGAAAAGAATTACTTAATCCTCAGATTTTCTCCAATAGATAATAGTAATTTGGGCCTTTAGGGTTGCTGCCAAAATTAAGGAAACAAATGCCAAGAATTAAACAAATGTTGTTTGCTATGCTTATTGCTATTAAAAGTAGCAGTAGTATTTTCACCTCAGGAGCTTAAACACTTTTAGAAAGAAAGAGAAACACAATAATTGGGAAAACCCACAAAGGTTTACAAGAAAAGATAGAGAAAATAAATGCTGGCGGGTCACACAAACAAAAGTTTTAACTGCATTAAAACTTGAGCCAGTAGCCCATAATAGCATTGGGTCTTCTGTTTAACTGGCAATGTCAGAAATTATTGACCTGAGTCCCCCACAGCTCAACATAACAACATGGCTTTACTTCCTATATTTCGTCTTCATACTTTTCTACTGGATGGTTAAGACCAAGGTAAAGCAGGACCTGTGCAACAAGAGTTATAGCTTTTGGGTCTGATAAGTTCAGTGAAATCCCCTCAGGATTTATCCTGAGATCCTGTACCTCAGATTGTAGAACCTTTGTCAGTGCAGCCATGTGGATGAGTCACGGCCAATGCTTGGCCAATGTGCTCTCTGTGAAAGCCTGAGAGAATGTCTTCTCCCCATGTGACTCTCCTTAGGCACACTCTACGTCATCGATCACTTTCCTCTTTGGCCCCATAATCTTCTTGATCAGAAAATTTGGGACACTACCAAGGTACATGATGTTCCAGTACAAGTTTTCATATGTCCTGAGTCTTAATTGACCTTAGAAGGCTAGGGCCAAAATGTTGGCTTTCCTTGTAGCCCTCCTTTTTCTCTAATTTTGGTCTGCAAACTTAGGTTGTTAACCATCCAGAAGACAAGCTTATTGTTATTATCAAACGATTTAGGCTATCAAGCTTAACCTCACTATCTCACTGCATTTCAAACATCTTAGGCATAATAAGGAACAGGTTTTTTTCATCAAGTATTGATATGTTGAACTTTAAGTCCCTACATAATATGATAAAAAACATTTAAAAATTAGATTATATTTTAACAATAGGATAAAGAATTCTATGCTTCTCATGTTTGCACATAAGTCCAAAAATCTCACCATATACAACCTTGAAGCAGGACAGTCCCACAATATTCCTTTTCCTGTCTCTTGCTTTCATTCACCACCACCTTCTTTTTGAACATCCATCTACCCGAGAGACATCTTAGCAGTAACTGGCACGTCATGGACTCTTTTAGAATATTTTGCTGAGTTTACACACCTATAATATTCAACAACGGAACTTTAAAAAAAAATGGGATATAACTATGAATGTCCATTTTGTATCTGTGTATTCAAAGTGGTTGGGATAGATATATAGTTGCATTCTCTTAATGAATAGAATGATTTGTTCTAATGGTGTTTGTAAGTAGGATCACAAGTCTGCATCTTGTACAGCAATTAACCACTAAGAAGAATATATGCAGTGTATTATTTGTTGAAACTGTACTCTCAATTTGATTTGAAACTGTCTCATTGCTATATGTTTATCAATAAAACTTTGAAAAAAACTAAAATAAATAAAATAAAATAAAATAAATGAATAATTCAAAAAAAACCACTACAAAGACAACAATATACAATGTATTAATTATTGAAATTGTCCTACTAATCAGTTTGGAAACTGTCTTGTTGCTATTTGTTTCTCAATAAAATTAATGTAAAAAAAAAAAAAAACTTGAGCCAAAGCTGGGTCTGGTGACATATACCTGTAACCCCAACGCACTTGGGGACAAACAGAAGCAGTACAAACGCAAGCCAAGGTAGAAAATTTAGTAATAAGTAAGTCGTGCCAGGCATGTAGCTCAGAGTGAAAGCCCTGGGTTCAATGCAACAACAGAATACTGGGTCCAAATGCTTTGTATGAGAACCAACCTACTGCCCTCTCACGTGAACAGACTGCCTCTTATCTATGGGAACAGCTTCACGCTTCGAGGTACTTTTACTTATTTTTTCTTTTTTTAATGTAGAAGCAGGATTTTTTTAAATCTTTTAAAAGCATTTTAACTTACTCAAAATAAATTTGTTGTCAGACATTTGAATTATTATTTTTCCGTTTCTGAGGATTACAGGTATCTGGAATACTAATTTGGATAGCTGAGATGTAAGGCCACTTAGTGTTCTGAGTTGTCAAAATCACACACCATGGAGCCACCAGCCAAGTGTATCGGGCATAAGGAATTACTTCAGGTCAGTGATGGCAAATCTTTCAGGAAAGAGTTCCCACCTTGCAATCCCAAACCAATTTACTCATCGCAAAGTGCAATGGCTTAGCAAAAACAATTCACATATTAACATCTTTTGCCTTAAAAGAAAATCAACATGCATGTTTGCCACTACTGCATTTGGTCCTTCACATTCCATGTTTTCCAGAGCGTTTTCTAGCACCATCATTTCACTTGTGTTCTTGGGATACTTCTGTTCTCATTGATAATCAGAATTTCAGTTAGTGCTGTTAGTTGCTTTACTTTCAGCCATAACTGATAATATTCTTTTTTATGTGCTTCTTCATTTAACTCATATGTCCTTTAGAATATATTTTAATAGCTGATTTTTAAACACTTATACTATACATGTAACACATGGTGATTTTCTCACAACCTAAATAAATAAAAGACAAAGCTAACTTCCAACCTATCACCCCAATCCTTTTGCTAGTTTACCATCCCACTTTAGAGACACTCAATTACCATGGTGATATATATATATATATATATTCCTAAATTTGCTTTTTTTTTACCCTTGTATATTTCTTTAACTAATATCTTTTTTATTGCCAGTATCTTCTTGCAGTTGGCTGTATTTTTCAATGAAAATCATTCACAATTAAGAAAGCATTATTAGTCATGTGTTTGCAATCAAGCAAATTTTCCCTATAATGTATAAGATCTGTAAGCTTCTGTCCCCTGCCATACCCAACCCCACCTTATCCTGTCCTATCCTATCCACAACCCCAAACTCTCACCTCTGGAAGTTCCACTGAGCATCACTTTTTCCTTTAGCACAAATTTTTACAACCAGCTTTTGGCTGTTACTGTCTAGGCAGGCATTGTTACTGTGGTCCTCAGCTGAAGGCAATAGTGGGTTGCTTTTTTAGTGTTTATGCTGTTTTATTTTGGTAGTTTTTTTCCCTAAAATGTGTGCCACATATTCCTAACTCTGAGGTAGTTAAAGAGCTGCAGACTTTTGAGCATGCACATAATCTGCTGTACCATGACAGCATCTCCTTGCTCTGCAGTCTAAGAACAGAGCAAATCATGGAGAGGCCTAACTTGTGAGCAGCATCTCCTGCTGCAGCCCGCTGGGCGGGCGCAAGCAGCTACCCCGCTTCTGGGGAGATCGTCCTGTGCGGGCTCTCAGTGCAGGTGCAGGATGACCTCGTGCTTTAGTGCAAATGCATTTGTGTAATTCCTCTAACACTGACTCATGCAGCTTTTGATTCGTATCTGATTAATTCCTCTCCAGTCACACAAAAATGTATTGCAAAATTGCTAACCTACTCCAATATTTTGATTTCACCACTAGAATGGGTCACAATACTTCCATCAGTGTTAGATGCTCAGGTTAAATTATTTTTCAGAGATATTTAAGCCCACATATTTTGTATTTAGTTATTACTTTATTTCTGGTTTGGACTTTAACCTTGGGTTCTTATCTAAAATTTTAATTATTCAGGTCATTAGTCAATGTCAATTTTTTTTCCCAGTGTATCTTAAACTGTCACTAAACATAGAATGCTTTATATTGCTTTGTCTGGTTAGTTTTGACATTGCTGAGTAAGGCAGTGTTGATTTTGGTGGAGGTGGTGTTTTTTGAGACAGGGTCTCATTAGGATACCAGCTGTCCTCATTCAGATTGGCCTTTGTCTCACAACCCACCTGCTTAAACATCCAGAATGCTGGGATTCCAGGCAGAAGCCACCATGCCTGACAAGTAAGTGTTCTGGGGCATTTCTGATCTCACTGTCTTCTCTGTTCATTTTCCTTTCCAAGTTCATTTTATCTTGTTCATTTTCCTATACTCAACTGCACAACTTTAATCAAACTCCTTTTCTGATTTTGTAACTTCCTGGTCACATAAGAGACTGTTCTCTATGTGCTTGGCCTATTTTCTTCAGATAGGGCTCAAATAGTCATTGTTTTTGAGGTATGAAGACATTGTAACACTAAAAAAATCTTTTTAGTTGGGACAATTACCCATTTTCATGCTTTTAATTCAAAATCACTTCAAATAGCCATTTTAACAAAAGGTAGGTTAGAAATTATTACAGTTGTTGGAGTTCAAACCGAACTCAGTTATCATCATGGGCTTACGCTGAAGTGAGTAGTAGGAGGGCTCTTTCCAGCCATGCTGGTGTGTGGTCTTCACCTCCTCAGAGGCATCCTCCTGCCCGAGCTCTTGCTTCAGACGCTCACAGAAGAGCCCCTTTTACTCACTGTGACTCCCATTCTACATACTCCTCCTGGGAGGGCCTAGCCCTTTGCTGTACTCTGCATCCTAGAAGAAGTGAACTTCCCCATGGTTCCCACATGTCACAGGGCAAAATAAAGGGGTGAGCATGAAGTTGGCGAGGTAAGGGGGGAAACACAGAGTGCTGCCCCACGGTCTCCTACTTACTCGTGAGCAGGCAAGTTAGACCCTCACATCTTACGCAGATAGATGCTGTGTGCAGGCAAATGTTAGATGCTTCACTTCAAGAGCAAAAGAGAAAGAAAAGAAATTGGCCTAAATTATCCTTTTTCACTCCAGTGTCTTCCTGGGCAGTTTATTCTCGGCTGACTGGCACCAATACCTGCCAACAACTTCTACTTCAGATCTTCTGGCACTCAGATGACAACGTATTTCCACATGCACTTAGTTGGCAGTGCATTTCCACATGACTGAAAGCAGACAGGAAAAAGTCTCGCATAATATTTTCTATCAGCAACACTGAACCGATGTCAAAGCTACCTATTTGTCCCAAGACAATAAAATTCAGCCATGATAATACTAAGGTGACAATGTAAATGATTTACAAAGGAGGTTGCTCTGCTGTGTTTGATAGTATTTGGGGCTAAATACAGAAGTCAAATCTGGATGGTGTCTTTCTCGGGATGTAGACGCCTGATAGAGTTCATGAGGGGTCAGTGCTCACTCAAGGTGGCAGGGTGGAGGGTGAACGCAGCATCGGTGGCATCACATGCTGACCTGTGACCACACAGGACGCAAGCTGCTCATCAGCCCTGTACCCAGTGAGTTCTGAGTAGTCCACATTCTGGAAGAGTCAAATTAATGCCACCAGTCTTTACCTCAACTGATTTTTTAGGGTATTTTTTAGGGAAGGCTCTAAAGGATGTTCAGGGGCTCACTATTAAATTGCACTTATAGTAACTCACCTGTTTACAGCCTCCCACATGCTGGGATTACAAGCCAGTCTCAATTGCCATCTTAGCGGGCCCTAGGGGCAGGGCTGGCATGGCAGGCCTGGGGATCGAACTTGGGCTCCCAAACCTGCTTGCAGGAGCTTTAATCTGCTGAGCTATTTGGCCGGCTCTACTTCAACTGATTGTATTCACTTTCATAAGTCATATTAGGGATGGGGATAGTGTAACCAAAATTTTTAGTTTTTAAATGATTCCTTGCCATTAAATGCCATTTGAAAGCAGTATTCTAAAAAAGAGCAGCCTCAGATTTACATGACAAAATGAAGAGTTAACTACTTTGCATGTTCCTAGGATCACAGGCCTCCCCTCCAAGTTCATTCTGTCAGTACTAAAGCTTGCATTATTGTTATTACAAGTTCAAATGCTCATTAATAGTTAAAGAGGGAACTTGGTAACACCTTCTGCATGACTGGGTTTTCAGGGCAGAAGCAAACCTTAAATTCATTCTGAAGCTTTTCCTGTCCAGTTACAAATCCCACCACAAAAGTATATTTCCTATCTTGCCATGTGCGCTATTAGCTACACTCACTCTTTTCTCCCTGCAATCTAAGGACCCAGTCCTAGCCACAGAGAACACAGTCAAGTTTCTCTGTTCCTTCTTTATTTGAGATGTAACACAGGAATTTTTAATAGCCTTCAAGAAAGAATCTTGAGTGTCTTTTGACTATTAATTAACAAAATCCAAAAACATTTGTTTCTACCCTCTCATTTATTTTAATTACAGAGAACTGAAAGATAACCCAAATTAATGCACCTACCATCGAAGAGCTAAATTAAATAAATAAAACAAAAAAAATCCAAAATTCAAGGATTCCAAAATAATCTGGATATCTTTAAATGTAAAGTCTGGCCATTTGGAGAAGGTTGCAAATCGAGGGAAACTGTGAGTGTCATTATCATTTTAAACCTGGGATAGACTAGTTCCTGTGTCCCACGTGGAGAAACGGGACGTGTCTGAGGCGGATGGCACAGAGTACAGAGGGCAGCAAAATCTCTTTCATGCAAATCCTTCCCTTCCACACATCACTGCTGCAGGACAACCTCAACTCCTTGCGGGATACTATTTTGTTGTGATTTTAGAGATAGCATTATTTCCCATTAATAATGCTGAGGCTCATAATGTAGTTTTATTTGAACAGTCACGTAGGTCAAATAGTATAATGTAGAGTTGAAGCTCACCCCCAACACACACACACACACACACACACACACACACACACACACACTCAAACTGCTCTCTTTCAACATGCTTTCAATGTCACCTTTTAACTGCTATGGGAAGGATGATTGGTTTTCCTATGTTAGGACAGTAACTGGATTCCTCTAAGTCATAGAAGAATTATCTTTCTATTTTAAAACCAAATTGTACTTAATGTGTTCAGAAACTCATTACAAGGACTTCTGGTTCAGCAAAATTCTTCCACCCTCACATCCTTGCATATAGCCTGTGACAAAATGACCCAGTTCAGAAATGGTTCTTCGCACTTCAAACCTCACCACTTGCATCTACTCTAGGACATTCTTCAAAACTGCTCAGCCTTCTGTTTTTCTCTCATTCTAGCTTCTGTGGAGCATAACTTTCCTTCCTGAAATATTCTCATCACTCCTGAAACATTACTCTTGACTACAAAGAAATACAAGTCAATAACTAGAGCTTTTCTCTTTAACATCCAGACTTGTTACCTTTTAAAATAAGGCCAAGAATTCCATTTTTCAGTTCAAAGAGCATGAAGACTGAGCGACACATGATGACTATTTGTCTCCAAAGGTTTATAATCTGAACAGTTTCCTGACCTTCCAGGGCTGGTCAGCCCAGATTAGGTCGAAGAAATAACACTCCCACATGCTGACACAAGTTTTGGCTGGCAGAAGAAAAGTAAATAGGATGGTTCAATAAGACCAGCAGATCTGTGTGGATGACGTGCTCTGGATCAAGTCTCCACTCTGGTTAAACTCAGGACCAACGTGTGCTTTTCCATTTGGGTAGAGCACTGAGCATGTGTCTCTTTCACTTCTCCATTAAATTCCACAGTCTTTTGGGCTGCTCTTAGAAAGCCATGTGTAGTGTCTTTGGTTATATGACATCCATGTTCTTTGATGCACATCTTAGCATATTAAATGTTATAGGAAAAATAATTTTCCTTAGATGCTAACATTTCCAAGAAATAACCTGGGCACTGAAAAAAAATGGACCTTAGTCATTCTTCTAAGGATACATTTACATTTCTACTTTTTACTGTTTCTAGGAAACGGAAGGCACTTTGTCCAACTCATGCCAGCATACAAAGCCCTTCCTGGGCAGGGCTCCTTCCAAGGATCTCTGAGCAGTTTTCTTCCTGGTCCTCTTTCTTAACACTGGGCCTGGCACATGGACGCTGGGCCGATGCATGAATGCAGTTCCAGTTTCCTCGTGTCCTCCTCACATGGAGTCTCCCATGACTCACTGCCAAACTTCAGAACTAAGGTCCTTATATCAGAAAGTCACAAGGACAAAGACAGACTTGTAATTATTGTGATATCATCATTTCTAGTCAATGTTTTTCTAGCTCGGTATTTATTGCTTTTTAAACTTTGGCACAAAAGGTGAAGTGGCAGAAGATTCATGTGCAACCTCACCCTCTACTATAATAAGCAGTTCTTAAAGAGAGAGCAGTTTATTCACGTACCATGTAAGTGGGCTCGGAAAACGGCAGCCCAGAAGGAGAATGTGAAGGCAAGAGCTGATCTAGTCTTCCGATTTAGGCTTAGAGATGCCATCAGAGGTGGTTCAGTCTGTTCTACAAACAACCGCCTTTGTATCCTCCCATCTTCCTGGGCTTATCCAGTTCGGTCACCCTTTGTAACGCTGCAGGAGTAATGTCAGCATCCTCGCTGAGTTATTGGTATTAAGGGAGCAGGGCTCTGGGCCATTTCATGGGGTTGTTAAGATGGTTAGGATTTTTTTTAAGGGCTGTAAAACATTTTGGAAACAAGAAGCTTTAATAAAATGATAAATCATTCAAATAATAAATATGTGCTGGAATTCCACAGCACCATCATGGCTTATTGGTGTCAGAGCCCTGATACCTTCATGTACCTGGAGTCTTCCTTCCAGGCAGCCCAGTTCACCTAAGCTACCTCCTGGGCCTGGCAGAATGCCTCAGCTCACTGTGTCCAGTTGCAGGCCTCACCCCCTCCTCCTGGTTCTGCTCTGCAGAACTCAACTGGCCTGTATTGTTGAATATTACTCTGTTTCTGTCCTTGTTTTTGCTATTGTTTTTGTTTTTACTCTTTAAAATAAAAATAAATAAATAAATAAATAAAAAGCCCTAATACCTGGTGATAGACATAATTCTACATGCCACTGAGATCAGGATCATCTTTCTTACTCTTTTCTTTCCAGCTTTTCGACCTCAGTTGCATTTGCCCACATGGCCTTGAGGCTATTAGGCAAATACTGGGCTTCCCATTAGTGGAGTCACAAGGAAGTCAAGGTCCAGATAATTAACTTCCCAGAGACACTCTAGTTGCTTTACATCTTGAAAGATAAACTACTAACAAATGCCCTCACAGGGCTGCAATGTAGTTAGCTCACTAGCTAAAAATAGCCTGCCCCTGCTTTTGCTAAGATAACCCTATTTTCTCCACCAATGCTACATGTCCTCCTATCCATGTCCCTCTTAACTTAACCTGTGCCTCTCCAACATTAACATACATGACGACTGCCTGAAGATCACGTGAAAATGTAGATTATATCCCTGCAATATGCCTTCGCATCTGTATTTCTAATAAGCTTTTAGGTAATGCAGATGCTGCTGGCCCAGGAACAAGGCTTTAGATCACTTGTCAACAGGACTCTGGGGATGTAACTAGGTAATTACCGGGAGCTCTTCCTTGGGACCAGCAGATTGCCTGCAAAGCCCCCATCCTCATTATAGATCCTTATCCTAGCCCCTCCAATTAACATAAGAACACATGGGGGAATCAGACCTTTCAGAGCGGACCCTGGGAGCTACCTCCCCATACATCGCCCACCAGCGCCTGCCTGCCCCGTTGTTATCCTTCTCTCCCCAGCCATTCCCTCCCCTTTTATTGCTCATTATCGCTTGTCTGAGAAAACACAAGCTTCAGCCCGATAAGCAAGCAACTGACTTTTCCATAAATAATAGATTCTCATGAAAAACAAAAGGGAAAGGGAACGGGAATGGAATGGAAAGGTGTTGTATATTCAATTTATTTTAGGTTCCAAACCTATTTTTTCCTTCGGTCTGCTGCCTGATTTCCATTAAGTCAGCCAGTTTGCTTGTGGCGTGGCCTCTGAATCAGTTTTTTCCTGCTACACTAAAAAAGTCTCTTTAAAGAGACTTTTAAAACTATTAGCCTTTTAAAATCTTCCTTTTTATCTACTGCCATGAAAGAAATAGTAGATAATACTGTGGGCACACGTATATTAAGTGTCCTAAGGAGGTGCACCATTG